CTAAGTACGGATTAAATCTGGCACGTTTTTAAGACCCAGTCCAGACCCTTACATGTAGCACAACAAAGTGTGCATGAATGCTTAGCTTGGGCTAAGCACCCAAAACGGCATTGCATTCAATGTTCATCAATAAAGATATAACTGATTATAATACTGTTTACTTGGAATGGGTCACAAATTAAGAAATGCGGAAAGTGCAGCAACAACACATGCCTTGGAAACTGGTTTTGTAGTCAAAAGCTGAATTCAATTGTGATTCACATAGAAATAAGGCATGGCATCATCAATAGCATTTCTGTATTAAATGGACAGTTATTATAGTAGAAGCAAGGTCATGGAGGTCTCACGAATATATGTCATAGCTTACCTTAACCACTCCATTTTCATGCATCGTAATGCAGTTTTCAGGATCTTTCGAGAGTTGGAATAATGCTTCTGCCGTGGCTCGATGAACATCTTTATTTGGTGACTTGAGATATTTGACTAATGGGGCCACTGCTCCATGTTGTCCAAATGATACACGGTTATTTCCCCACATACAGCAACGGGCGATGGCATCTGCCAAGTGCCTTCGTAGTTTATCATCTGTCTGTATGCAACAAACAAAATATATGATTATTACAAGGTAAAATGATGCATAGTAAAATCTCTTGTAAATATATTCTTCTCATGTCTATATAATGTATGGTGAGAGTATTAGTATTAGGTTTAAGTTTTCTTAATTGTGTCAGTATTGAATCTTAAAGACTGGGAGTAACAGCTCCCGTCCCATAAGAACGCGACACTACAAGCACAGCATATCTTAAAAACTGGGGTACTGGAAACTAGTCTATTATATCTCAATAAACCTACCATTGGTGTAAGTTTAGCTAACATTGGAACCACACCATGATCTGTTATAACTGCTAGATTTTCTTCATCTTTTGCAATATTAGCAATGGCAGCACACACACTGGATAACACCTCCATGTGTTCTGATTTAAGAAGACTAACAATCAATTCTAGACCACCAACAAAGGAACGCACCATCTCGCCTGCATCCTGAAAAACATACAAACTACATAATTAGTCATGAAAAGATACAATAAGGCGAAGATCTATCCATATATTGATGTCAACATAAATTAATAAAGATAACTTTTAAAATTTCACCAGATGAGATTTTTCTCTGATTTGTGATATTTATACCAGTCCATACCAATAGGCTAGCATAAATGAATGTAATTTGTGGCACAGAAGAAAATACGGTATAACTTTTTCTGACTATCTATGCAAGTGTATATCCTCTGAATATCAAACAGCTAGATCATTAAAAATAAAAAAATCTTTGAAATAGTCTGCCCTGCATCATTGACTGATGAGGAGGGCATAACACATTGATCTGATTTCATTAGTGTACATTATCATAGTTTTTAAAGTTTCTCAACTAGAATTGTTTCATACCGGTAATTCACATACATTAATGTTCACAAAAATCACTATGACTGTCTGCCTGAAAAACACAATTCACTGTAACAAAATTGAATCATTTTACTTGACTCATGGTAATCGTGAACAAGTTTGTCTTGAAATATAAAGGTGCTGTATTCGCTCTATTAGTATTATTTATTCATGTGTGATTCTTCTGGAGATGTCCCTCCCATACAGCAAATATGGCAATTGGCATAGAATATACATGCAAATAATTTTCACATAATAACACATACCTTAGCATTTTCAATACATGGACAGATTGCCCAGGCAGCACTTGCTTGAACTTCAGGATTCTGATTCTTTAGTAGTGACCACAGTAAACGTACACCATCAAGTTTGTCAATTACTCTAAAGGAAGAATATGAAATATATTCAACTAAGACCAGTAGCGAGAGCCTTTTTATTGCAAACTTAATTATACACTTTTGCTATTACTTTCAAAGATCTGCATACACAAAAAGGTGATTTGCATAAATGATGCACATATTATTTTGTTGAGGTACCAATGCAGACACAAATTTTATACCAAAGATTTTCTATAAATTGTACCAACTTCAACATTGATTTGAGAGAAAATAGACAGAATTCAACTTCACTTATATATTTTTATTAACTTTATCAAATATTTGAAGATTCTGTCTTCAGTTGAAAGATTAATGAGCAGATTCTAAACGAAACAAGTTTGTATAGGGTACTAACTTGACAATGGTGGTCAAAACTACATCACATGATCAACTTTAACCAATTACATTTCATTTAACATGCAAATGTTGACATACTCACGTCATATTGTCTGGTTCCGTAGCACATGCACCGACAGCTTTTGTGACGTTTACAAGCAATGCCTGATTGGTTCCTGTTAACAAGTTCACCAGGGGTGGAATCCCACCTGCTTTCCTTATTGCCAGTCTATTTGATGGTTCTTGAGCACACTCTCCCAATGCTCCAACAACATTCACCAAAACCTGATAAGATGATCAAATACAAAATACGGTAAGATAATTTAAGCTAAGCTGTCAGTTAAATATTAGCTGCTCCCACACTTTGATCGTTGTTTTTGTAGAAAAAAACCCAAAGAAGGGGTTTTAATAACCAGCATCTCATATCAGCTTATACATTAAATACTAAAAATATTAAATATTAACAATCATTTTTTGCTCAAAGATGCTTGTATTTCAAACATTTTAATTAGATATGATATCAGAATAACCAAGCCTTAGATATATGGTTTTCAGCTTTCACTACCAGTGATGATACCATTTAGTACTTGATTTTTTTAAAAACTAGACAAATTAATCTTTTCATTTTTGGGGGTACTCATATGTGTAAAATAGGCCTGTATTTCAAGTTTCTACATTGTCATCTATGGGGAGTTTAAAATAGCCCTGCATTTAAAGTTTCTACATTGTCATCTATAGGGAGTTTAAGATAGCCCTGCATTTAAAGTTTCTACATTGTCATCTATAGGGAGTTTAAGATAGCCCTGCTTTTAAAGTTTCTACATTGTCATCTATGGGGAGTTTAAGATAGCCCTGCATTTAAAGTTTCTACATTGTCATCTATGGGGAGTTTAAGATAGCCCTGCTTTTAAAGTTTCTACATTGTCATCTATAGGGAGTTTAAATAGCCCTGCATTTAAAGTTTCTACATGTCATCTATGGGGAGTTTA